GGTTCCCACAACCTGAGTGGATGCCACCTGATGGAGCAGAGGCCTGAGGAAAAGCAGATGGCATGTTGAACTGTTTAATCCATCTTAAGTTAATTTTTGTATAAAGGAGATGGTACCAGTTCGTGCCTCAGGGCTCATTGGCACTGTAGCCACAGAAGGCCGAGTCCACTGGGTGGTAATCCTGCCTGCTTTCTGCACTTGAACATAAAGTTCTCCTCAAGACGGCCTGTGGTCTGCCTCTCGGCCCTACCTTTAGGGTAGAAGAACTGATGTACTATGTCCATCAGTGAGTGAGGTTGGTGGCTGGTCCACCTTCTCCTGGCACACCCTGGCAGAGGTGGCTGATTGCTCTTTGAGCTTGCATGGCCTTGCCTGGCATGTACAAGCCTCAGTGGAACTACCATGCTACAAATGGAACCATGTATTTGAAATGAGCAGCAGGCTGAGGAGCAGGGTATGCGCTGCGTTTGGGGTTCCGTTCCATGTCTCGGCTCCTATGGAAGTGCAGGCTTCTTGGTTGCCAAGAGGCAGAGCACAGGCCGTCTTGAGGAGGACTTTATGTTCAAGTGCAGAAAGCAGGCAGGATTACCACCCATGGGACTCGGCCTTCTGTGGTTCTGGCCAGACTCAGACTTTGGGACAAGCTAATTCGGAGTAGCGTGTAAGTAGCTGGTGCCTGTGCATGCCAGGGAAGGTCAAGCCGGCTCAAAGCGCAACCAGCCACCTCTGCAAGGGTGCACCTGGAGCAGATGGGCCAGCCAGCAACCTCAGCTACTCAAGGATGCAGGGATGACCAGGTTCCCAGAGGCTAAGTGGCTTCCACCTAATGACTGATGGAGCAGAGGCCTGGGGAAATGCACACGGCATGTTGAACTGTTTAATCCATCTTAAGTTAATTTTTGTATAAAGGAGATGGCACCAGTCCATGCCTCAGGGCTTGTATGGGACTATAGGCCACAGAAGGCCGAGTCCACTGGGTGGTAATCCTGCCTGCTTTCTGCACTTGAACATAAAGTCCTCCTCAAGACGGCCTGTGGTCTGCCTCTTGGCCCTGCCTTTAGGGTGGAAGAACTGATGTACCATGTCCATCAGTGAGTGAGGTTGGTGGCTGGTCCACCTGCTCCTGGCACACCCTTGCAGAGGTGGCTGGTTGCTCTTTGAGCCAACTTGGCCTTGCCTGGCATGCACAAGCCTCAGTGCAACAACTGTACTACAAATGGAACCATATAGATGAAATGAGCAGCAGGCTCAGGAGCAGGGTGTGGGCTGCCTTTGGGGTTCCAGTCCATGTCTCAGGGCTCCTGTGGAACTGCAGGCTTGTTGATTGCCGAGAGGCAGACCACAGGCCATCTTGAGGAGGACTTTATGTTCAAGTGCAGAAAGTGGGCAGGATTACCACCCAGTGGACTCGGCCTTCTGTGGCCCTGGCCAGACTTAGACCCTGGGAAAAGCTGATTTGGAGCAGTGTGTAAGTAGCTGGGGCCTGTGCATGCCAGGCAAGGCCAAGCTGGCTCAATCAGCAACCAGCCACCTCTGCAAGGGTGCACCTGCAGCAGGTGCACCATCCAGCAACCTCA